AACTTAAATCAGAAATATCTGATTTGCGAAAACAGCTTAGGGTTTTACAACAGGATAAAAAATTCAAAGATGAGGTTAAATCCATTCAAGATAGCTGAATCATAGAGCTCAAAAATAAGGTTAGAAATCTTAAAGCGAGAATCTGAATTCTCATAGATAAAAAATTCCCAATAAATACTTTAGATATGGCAATAACTAATCTTATTGCAAATGTTAATAGAGGGTTAGATCAAATTGAAAATCACATTAGGGGGTTGGTACCCTATGCAAAATCTCACCAATATTATAGATGGAATCAGAGGCTTGTTAAATACTATTCAGGTTACTTTACAAAATATTACAATTGAGAGGGATCAATATTAGAACCTATTAAATAATTCAATTTGACAGGTAGAAGATCTTAGAAATCAGTTAAATGATAGCAGAAATCAGAATTTACGGTTACAATGTTTATTAGATGAATTCCACGTTCAGGTTGAAAGAATTATACAGATGTATATAGATGCTTTAAAAAATGAAATAGAAGTACGTAGAGAGTATCGACAATTGACTTAAAATAGGCAAGAACGTATTGATAAATTGTTACGTGAAAATTTTGTCTACTGACTATTAATTCAGCATAAGAATACTCAAATTGCTGAGTATAGGAGAACTGCATATAGATTAACTATACACTATAATAATAATACAGAACGCTGGAGAAGAAGACATGCAGATTGTGTTCGCCAGGCACAAAATTGGAAGGGACAGTATAGGAATTCATAGAATCAAGTTCAGGCTCGCAATCAGAATATTTTAAATTTACAGAGATAAATTTTAACGCTTCAGAATAATCCACCTAATATACAACATATAGGAATAGTAGAATACAGACCCCCAATATTTATGAATATCCTGAAGAAGATCCAGAAGATTTTTTAGAGATTTTCAGAGATATGTAGTAGCTAGTCGAATATATGTAGCTCCAGACACTGGTAGAATAGCAGGAAGAGCTGAGGCATTAAGTTTATTAATATCTTGTCTTAAAGGACCTGCTAAGCAATAGTATAAAACTCGCATCAGAGGCAAGAATTGGAAATGTAATAATTTTTCAGACAACTTAAGAGTAGCGAACTTGAACACTGTTCGAGGAATAGGTGCTGGAAATAGTGGTAATCAAATTGGTGGTTTGAATACTGCTAGAGAATTTCAAGGTAAAGTAGGAGCCAAAATTGGTAGAATTGGAGCAGGGTTGCAACTGGTGCTAATATTATTCTGAATGGAATATGGAATAAAGACTGGTCTATCACAGGTGGTGAGTTTACAAATACTGCACCAGTAGCATCGAATGCTGGTAAAGGATTTCCTATTGTTACAATAGCGCCTAACATAACATTCAGCCAATATTTATACTTACTCAAAACTGCTTATATGACCGTCAAACACTTAAAACAGATGGTAGTTTTTGATCAACTTATGCAAGGGGATATGGGTATTGAAGAGTTTTCCGCCTGAATCAAAAAGACCGGTAAATTAGCTGGAATGACACTTAAACAACAAAGAAAGTAATTAATTCATGGTTTAAGTCCTATGAACTAGTATAATCTTCAAATGATGGCTAAGTTTTATGATACGCATAACAATATTGTAAAAGTCTTAGCTGAAGCAGAAAAATTTACATTATCTCAAAAGAATACACCATCTTCTTTTCTAATTTTTCTGGCGGCCAATCTATATGTAGATAATAATAGATCAAGGATGACTAAAACTGAAATTGAGAGCTTGGTAAAAAATACAATGGCATCCTCAGAATCCCAACAGCCTTAACAAGCGACTTTATCGTAATTCCAACTATATTTTACAGGAACGCATAAAAAATTACAAGATGTAAATATAGGTAGATTTTTATCATAGATTATGGGAAAAACCCTCCAAAATTTGTTCTATCTTTAATTCTATTTTGCCACTAAAGCCAAAGAAAAAGATTGAAGTTAATTCTAATGAAGAACTTGCTAAGCTCACAAAAAAGCAGTTAAAGCTACATGTGGCTAAAGCGATTAAAAAAGCTGTGAAGACACAATAGCAATGCTTTAACTGTAACTGAACTGAACATAATTCTCGCAAATGCACTTAAAAGAAGAAAAAGAAGAATAAGTCTAAGAAAGCTAAAGTTAATCTCACTACTATAAATTTGAGTTCTGATTTAGATTCAGATTCTAACATCTCTAGCGAATCATCATCTAGTGATAGTTCAGATTCTGACACAAGTTCTTTCAATTCTGAAGGCGATATCAGTGTTAATATTACCAAGTCAAAATAAAAGTAAAGCGTAATACTTCATCTAGTAATAAATCTAGATCTAAAAGCAAATCTGAGAAAAAGACCCGTAAGATAAAGCAAGATGATACATTTGCCGATTCTTTTTCTTTTAAAGCCCAAATTATTTATAAAATAGTTCAGAGTGAGCTTGGTTCAGCTTTGCGAGAAGAACTTAAAAAGATCCTTCCTCTGTATATGATTCAGGCTCTCCCACTAGACACTAAGAAGCCTGCTAAAGAAAAGGTTGAACTGAAAGCTAATGATTTCTCATCTTTTCAGGAACCAACCCTGCTGTACTTGAGTCAGATGATGAGTATATTGATAATCTCATGAAAATAGATTTCGTTCAAAGAAAAGAACTTGTCATAGATATTATCACTGTTAAGTGTAAAATTAAGTATTTAGTGATTCCAGTGGGTATAGTTGATCCTAGTACTAATTTTCTGATCATGTCTGAGGATATATCTAAATGATCAAAGCTAGAAATTGATACAAAAGAAAAACATAATTTCAGAAGTATTGCTACTACTCCTACAGAATTCCTTAGAATTATTAGAAATGTTCTAGTGAATTTCACTCCTAGATATACTATATATGCCGATTTGTAGTAGTTAAGTATCCTAAGCTGATGCTCATTTTACCTAACACATTGCTTGATAAATATAACTATAATTTATTTGCATCAAAGCGAAAATTGAGACTAGAGTGTAATGGTAAAGAATTTTTTATTCCAATTAATATGCATAAGGTTAAGAATAAGCTTGAGATGAATTATGCGAAAACTACTTCTGAATGTGATACTTTCTTGATCTCAAACTGTATTTCGCAAGGTTTAAGCAAAGATGATACATTAAAAAAAGTGAGTTATGAAGAGTTTGAAAAAATGTATAATTCTCTCAAGTCTAAAGTGAAACTCAATAACACATGTAGAAGATTGCAAATTCATTATAATGAGCTATTAGGTAGTAGCCAATAAGCGAGCTGTCTCTGCTTTACTTTTTTCGTCTTCCTTAGCATCCTTTTCATAAAATGCTCTTAATTCTTCTCTATGTAATCCTTTACCCTGAATGCTTTCGGCTGAGTTTCCTGAAGTTGGCTTAGTCTAAATAGATCCCAAGGGGATAATATCAGGTGATTCAGAAATATAAACAGACTTGGCTTTTAGATTCCTCTCCCCAGTCTTTTTTGCCTTATTTTTAGGAATAATGATACTTAAGGACTTGTGGGTGTCTGTCTTTTTTCCATAAGACAAATCAGCATTTGTTAATACCATCTTTTTAGAATCTGAAGGTGGGTTTATTAGTGGATATGATACCATCTCTTTAGAATCTATCAGAAAATGAACTTCTCTCTATATTTGTTATACCCATTGAGATGATATTTTATATTTGTTTGCTATAACTTCTGATGCTTGCTTCATTGAATTTTTAGCACTAATAATGTCTTGAATATAGTGAAGTGATCTGGATAATTTATGATTATAGGTGGATATCCATTGGCTAAAAAGATCATCTGAATACCTATTATATATTTGTAAAAAATCAAATAAATGATTCACAGATAATTTATCAAATATTCATGAATGATCTGTAAGCCACATGAATAATATATAATTCGTAAATATTTGCAAATTCGTATTTTTTATAAATAAAAAATTCTAAATATTTTATGAACAATAATATTTTATTTATTATTTGACTTTATAACATATGATCATCTATTGATATAGCAGTTATACAATATAATATTTAGATTTTTTAATATAGTAATAAACTAATAAACTTAATTACATTAATTAAGAAAAGGATTCTGGTAATTACATATATATATTATAATATTTAATTGCTGATCCACATGTGACTGATAGAAATTACAATAACAAATGCAGTATTAAATACAATAATAAAAAATTTTTATTTTAAAATCTCTATTTTCTGAGATGTAAAAAATGTCAAATGTTAATATAACTCCAGGCAAACTTGTTGCAGAAATATTGTACCAGAGCTTCATTATAGTCTATATATACGTGATTGGTAGATTTTTTCTAAAGAAGAAAATTCAACTTACCCCATTCTTATACATTTAGGATTAGAAGTTTCAATATTATTAAATAAATAGCCTTTTGTTCTTCATGTAGTTCATTATATTTATAGTTCTTTGCAACCTGGTTATATTTGTGAAGGAAAAGGACAAAGTAGTGGTATTGTTACAAGTGCTTCTGCAACAATTACATCTGTATATCAAATTGTTTTCAATAGTAAAGCAAAATTTTCTGAACCTTTATATTTGGATTTAAATCAACTTGAAACAAGTCAGAAATTATTAGAAGGAGTTAGTTTTCGCCCTTTTATTATTGAATTAGAAAAATAATTATATTTGTTAGTTCTCTTGAAAAAATTACCTGTTTAAAACCAAACAAAATTGGTTGTAATTACCTATCATCTTTTTTTTATAAATATAAAAATAAACAATCTGTTTTTTCTCAATGTATAAATCAAGATTTATATTCGATCACAATTTTTCAGGATAGTCAAATTGTTACTAAATATGAAGACATTTCACCCAATGCTGTATAGCAATAAGTTGGAGTTTTAAAATCCTTTTCAGGAAATACTTTATTTGTTATAGACCATCCTATAATATTACATAAACTAAAACAAATATACGAAACAATTTTTTTACACTAAATACTTATACCAAATATATGTATGCCCTTAGATTGGAATAATAAAATAATTATGGAGCATTTATTTGAATTACATCTAAAAAAAGTAGTTGGAAAGTTAATTGATATGTGGTATCAAGTTTTTCAAAGTTGAAAAGAAAAAGAAACTAATATAATTGAATTATATACTTATCTTAGTATAATATATGGTTCAAATCATAATTTTCAAGAACGTGAATTATAAGCATGGCATTCATTATTTTGTGCTACAGGATATACAAATATTACTCTGTATAATAAAAAAATTTCTAAGGTAATGTAATAAAATAAAAATTTATATATATAAAATAATAATAATAAATTAAAAATATATCAATTTATAGATTGAATTTTGGACAAACTCACCTAATCCTGAAAAAGATCATAAAACACTTAAAGATTTATATTTCAATAGATTTTTGAAGATATTACCAATCCTATCAATTATAAATACTATTTAGATATTTTGGAAATGTTTTTGTAATAGCTATAATATGAATATTAGAGAAATAAATGGTAAACAATGTATATTATCAATAATTACAGAAAAATTTACATATCAAGAAATAATTGATAATTTAGAGGTAGGATAAAGATTATACTTATCAAATATGTAAAATATAATAATAATTTTAAATTTATAATATAATTAGGTATTTTCTAGTATTATTAATATAGCACGAAAGTTTTTCTGAATTAATGGACCTGGTTGTGCTGCATTAGAAAAACTATTGTTACTTATTCAAAAATGTCTGAAATAAAAAAAAAAGAATTTGAATTATTTTTTACTGATAAACAAAATGTAAATATGAGTTCTTATAAAGTTGATGCAAAACACAATTACCAATACTTTATTTTAAAGATCAAAAAATGCACTTTGGAAAAAATTTTCAGCCACTTATCCAGATAGAATGAAATGTACTTCCTTTATATCTTGATTACAAAATAGTCGTTTCAAATATCGATAAGATTTAGGAGGATTGTGTTTAATATGTAATGATTATGGATATCAACCTTTTGAAGATTTGATCAATTTAATTAATATAAACTTTTCTGATAAAATATTACAGGTTAGTTGATATATTTTTTATTATAATTTTAATAAATAATATTATTATATTTATATATAATTTTTTTTTGGAATTATTGGATTTATGAAATAGAATTATTACATCATCATCTAAAACGATACTATGAAGAAGAATTAGTTATAAATGAAAATTGTATAACCAATCATGTTGATTGTATTAATTATTGTTTATTATTTACATTTGGAGAATGTAATTTTCAACATTTTTCACAGTGTCTAAAATGTGATAGACTATTTAGTATATTCGAAGAACTTTTAACACAATTCAATATTATTCATCATGATAAACTTACCAAATGTCAAGAACAATTGATATGTTATTTATCACATTAAATCCATAAATCATATTTGAATGCCCAATTTAATGCTATACTACAAGAATTAGATGATTATGGAGCTATTATTGTTGTTGATTATAAAATGCGAATTTTACTTGCAACAGCTCGAGAAACAAAGAGTGAATTTTTCAGAAAAAGAGGATGGATACTTCATACAACTTTAGTCTTTCAAAAAGATAAAGAAAATAATGAAAAATTAGAAATTCAAGCTTACGATCATTGGAGTTCAGATACTAAACAAGATGCTTGGTTTACAGCATCATGTTTTGAAACGGTATTTGAAACAATGAATCCAAAACCTTGTTGGATTAAAATTATCTCAGATAATAAAGGTCATTATTATAATTCTGAATTAATAGCAATTATAAGTCATTAGTATAGTTGGTATGAAATAGAAATACGTGAGTGGATCTTTCTTGAGTCAGGTGAAGCAAAAATTACAGTTAATTCTCATCATGCAATAGTAAGTAAATTTAATATTAAGTGTTAATTATTTTCTATATTATATTAATTTTTTTTAATAATTAGATTGCACATGCAATAAAAAGATATATTAGAATTAGATACTATCTTACCGAAGGAACAAATATTGAAACAACATTTCAAGATCTTAATGGAACATCAATAGTACATATTAAACCAAATTATGATCTAAATCAAGAAAATATAGAATCGTTAGAAAGATTAGAATAAGTTATCTATATAGTTGTTTTAATTTTATTAATATATTTTTAAGAAATTACAGAAATTTTATTACATTAATTAGAAATCATAAAAACTCAAAAAATAATACAAAAAAATGTAAAACTATTCCTGGTATTTCAAAATGGTTTGAATGGATTTGGTCAATAGATAGTCAATTTGCAGGATATATGTGTATACGTTCTCTTCCTCATATTAGTACATGAATGAATTTTTCACCTGCACAAGTTGCTTCTTTTTGCAATACTAGTTATAAACCATTTCCAGTAGTTTCTAAACTAACTAAATCTAAAGCTCCATGGAAAATGCCGATTCCTAAAAAACCAGGTAATATAAATAAATTATTACTTGTTATTAATTCAAAATTCAAAATTCACAGTAATTAATTTATTACTAATCTTTTTTTAAAAAAATAAGTGTCCTTAACAAACAAAACGTCTACAGATTTTATTGATAATGAATTTAATAAGATAGTTAATGAGAATGCAAGGTAATATATTTTTATCATTATAAATGATCAAATATATAATAAAATATATATCTTACCTTCCTTCATTGTATTTTCTTATTTTTTTAGTGTTGACCAAGAATTTCCTTTCAATCTTAAATGGACTTTAAAAGAAAATATGAAATTCGGTAATAAGGGTGGAGGAAAACGTATATCAAAAAAGGTTGTTTAATATTTACAAAGTTTTTTTTTAGCTGAAAATTTAAGACCTATAGATCGTTATTCTCCCGAAGTTATGCATGCTAATCTTAAAGATTTGGTTACAAAAGGTGAGATTATACCTGACGAAGTATCATCAATAAAAACTATAAAAGGCTGGATTGGAAGATATAATGCAAATTTCAAAAAAGAAGCGTCAGAACATGCACTAACAATGAAAAATGATACAATTGTAGAATTTAGTGACAAAAGAATTAGCAAACGTCAAAAAACTGAGTAAAATATAGATCTGATAATTAGCAAATTATAATAGTATCTTACTATGAAATCTTTCTTTTCTTCATATAAACTTTTAAAGTCACAAATAAATAGTAAATTTTTTTAAATAAATAGCTTTTTATAGACTTATATATCTCATGACATATATTAATTGTATAATTGTATAATGAATGATTATACATTTTTATGGCAAAAAAAAGGATCTACAATTTTTATATAATAACATTGCACCGCATTTTTTATATCCACCATATATGGATTAGCAATTAATATTAAAATGTAATATTATAATACATTATTATAATATAATAATATATCGTAATATCGTATCGTAACACTATAAATAAATTTTTTTTGTAAACAATTTGATGTTATTGTTTACGCAATCCTAAATCAATTTATATGACATAAAACCAAAAGGTAAGGGGCTAACTTGATGATTACACAATAAGATTTTTGATCAACATAACTATCCTTCTATAGATTTTTTTTTAATTTTATTATTAATTATATTTAAAATGAGGTTTTCAAGTTCAGA